ATTCGGAAAGAATAAACCAGTTTTATTAAGTAAAGTTAAGTAAAGACTTCTGTCGTTAAAGTTTCGTTGGAACGAAGTTACGGGAAAATCAATTAACAAACGAAGACGTAACAGTATACTGGAGTAGCCCTCGTGGTGTTGTGGTGGATGGTGTTGACTAGCTGTCTTCCCTCTAGTCTAGTCTATATAAGTTCGAGATTAGGGATGGCTAGCGCAGAAAACCCTAATGTAACTTTGCACGAATATCCGAAACAGTTTTACTATTTTGATTGTTGTGAGATAGCTGGATAACAGTGTTGTTGTAGTAATGTTATTAGGAAATGATTTAAAAAATTCACTGTTCAATTTCGTAATTTAGTAATCCATCGACTGATAATTGTGTATCGTTCTTTGGAATGGGGATGAAGAATATCAGTCTAATCATGAAAGGCTTATTCGAATTAATAACAAAAAAGTTGCGTTAAAGATATGACATCCTCAAACAAAACTGTTATAATTGTAAACAATAATATCACAGATTTCTTATTTTTTCTTAATAAAGTTGTAAGCTATATTTTTCAGAGTTTTAATTTGAATATTAGTTAGAGGGCACATGAGATTAAGATCTAGTAAATTCGACTAAGATCTAAATGGATAAATTAGTATAACTATGTAAATGGATAAATTAGTATAACTATGGGTAAGCAAACAGTTTTTAATTTATTCGGTGATTTGAAAAGTTGGTGAAATATTTAGATCATTGTTAATTACAGCGTATATTCAGTTACTCGATCGATTACCCGTGAAACTGTACAAGTAAGTTTAGTTTTATGTTAGTCGTTGTACCATTAGCGAGTAAATTTCTGTGAAAAGAGAAAACGTTATTTGTGAACTTAGGCTTAAAACGGTGTATGAGTGATAGTAGCCTGTGCTGCAGCAGTCCTAAATGAAGAAATAAACTAACTTGTTATCGTTATGTGGACCGGATTTCATATGATTTTTACCAAATAATTTAAAATAACTCGCTCAACAAAGAACGTATTACAATAATAATTTAATAGATTCCAGATATATATACACCTACATGAAAATACCTTTTGTTGTTGTTTGTTTTCAGGGGAGGTATGAGACAAACATCTGTTATCTAAGCCTTTCTGCAAATACTAGCTTTGTTCAAAAAAAATGTTGCTCCGTTTGAACTTGTTTTCAGTATTTGCCTAACCAAAGTTCCCTGTCTTCATCTAACCATTTCCCCGTTTCGCTTTTTGAACAATGGGATATCAGTCGCAATTTTGAAAAAAATAAATTCCAGTATAATTCTGGAATATAACTTGACTTGCGATACATGCCATGTTTCATTAAATCCGAATCCATTAATAGATAAATTTTCCATTAACTGATTTCTGAAGCTCTAATATTTTCACGTAAGTTACGTTTAGGTCTGTCTACAGGATTTTCATTTTGGTTTTCTAAGTATTTTCTTATACTAACCATTGATTTTTACGAGATATGGTCAAGAAGGTCATGGTGCTTACTGACAAGCGCCTTTATATAAAACTTCTCCCGCTTTTCGTGAATGTAATTTTTTGTATCCGCCATGTCAAGCTCTAAAAATACTGTATCGTTATAAATTTAGGGCTCTATTCCAATTAATTATTTTAAAAGTTTATTGTCAATATTTTCAGAAAGTTTTAGTTATTTATGAACAATGTTTCGCAAAAATAAAAAACCTGCTAATAAAGAACCTTAAAAAATTACGTGTTTCATCCAAAGAGGAATATCTGGTTTTTTCTGCAAAAAACTAATCAAACGTAAATGTCTCTTTTTTTATGTTAATTTATTGTTATAATATTTACCTTTGCCGTTATAACATTAATTATAAATATTATATATATATATATACACACACACAGAAGTATATATAATGAATATTTAATGAGCCTAATTTCAGTTTTATTTTATCTGGATCGTTTCCATTTATTGCTAAATATTCTAGTTTCTATACTTTAAAATAATTTCCGATTCTTCACAGAAATCGCAAATTTTAGAATATCTTCCATTGCGTATCTTATTTCTAGCAAGACTGACTGCATTATTCATTAAAATGAGAATATGCATGTTTTAAACTAAACTGTTAAGTTTTAAATATCGTCTTAATTTACGAATTAAAGGGTTAACAAGATGTATAAAAAGCTACTAACAGGTGTGATCCCTGTCTCTTATCCAGTTTCTTGATAAAACATTCATTTTCTAATATAAAATCTGATATTTCAAACATTTTAAAGAATGTTTTAAACATTTATTCCCTTATTCCATTGACTTAAGTAATGTTATTAACGTATTTCCAAATATCAAATCATAGGTCTTTTCGTAATCAATAAACACAATAAATGATTCTTTCCTTTACCTTTTTATATATACAGTGAGAGATCTGTTCAACATAATCTCTAGCTTTTTGTCCCCTGTTTATTGTGCATCTGGTGTGTACCATAAATGCAATCATTTTACAAGGCCCGGCATGGCCAGGTGGATAAGGCGCTCGACTCACAATCTGAGGGTCGCGGGTTCGAATCCGCATACCACC